CTAAAATATTTTCAGTCGTATAAAAATTCTCAAACCCACAGCGAATAAATAGAGCTAATTATTACATCTAAGTATTACTAAATATGTACCCTCATCAGCTGCAAAAGCAAATGTCACAATGTTTAAGACTTCCTTCACACAATTTTCCTTTTAATTTCCTTGCCACATTTCTAGTGCATTGAGCAACAAACAGTGTCTCTGGTTACACTTATATTTGCGGGTGCTTCTATCTTGTTTCAGGACCCACATTTCCACCACATTCAATAGACACTTTTTTACAACTTGCAATATGTGAAGAATGTCATGTCCTGGGTGGATTTTTCACTTAAATACAGAACTGCTTATTCTATTAACAATCCAAACAAATCTTGTTGACTTTTCTGTTCTCTTTGCAGTTCATTAGGATTTGGTCACATGTCTCCCACATCCCTGGTCTTTGTTCTTATGGTGGTTGGTTTCTGTTTTTTCTCTTTTTTTTTATTGAAGTTTGATTTGCCAACATATAACACCCAGTGCTCATCCCATCAAGTGCCCTCCTCACTGCCCGTCACCCAGTCACCCCATCCCCTTGCCTGCCTCCCCTTCCACTACCCTTTGTTTGTTTCCCAGAGTTAGAAGTCTCTCATGTTTAGTCATCCTAATTTTTCCCACTCATTTTCCCTCTGTTCCCTTATAATCCTTTTCACTATTTTTTATATTCCCCATATGAGTTAAACCATATGATGATTGTCCATCTCCAATTGACTTACTTCACTCAGCATAATACCCTCCAGTTCCATCTGCATCGAAATGGTGGGTATTTGTCCTTTCTGATGGCTGAGTAATATCCCATTGTATACATAGACCACATCTTCTTCATCCATTCATCTGTCCAAGGACACCAAGGCTCCTTCCACAGTTTGGCTACTGTGGACATTGCTGCTATAAACACTGGGGTGCAGGTGTCCCAGCGTTTCACTGTATCTGTATCTTTGGGGTAAATCCCAGCAGTGCAATTGCTGGGTCGTAGGGCAGGTCTATTTTTAACTCTTTGAGGAACCTCCACACAGTTTTCCAGAGTGGCTGCACCAGTTCACATTCCCATCAACGGTGAAGAGGGTCCCCCTTTCTCCACATCCTCTCCAACATTTGTTGTTTCCTGTCTTGTTAGTGTTCACCATTCTCACTGGTGTGAGGTGGGATCTCATTGTGGTTTTGATTTGTATTTCCCTGATGGCCAGCGATGCGGAGCATTTCCTCATGTGCTTGTTGGCCATGTATATGTCTTCTTTGGTGAAATTTCTGGTTGGTTTCATAATGGCTGTTTTCATACATTACATCCTTTGCCAAATAAGCACATAGGAGAGGTCTACAGTTTATAAACTGGAAACCTATGACTCTCTACATCTATGTTCTTTTTCCTCCTTGTCATAGAGATGTGAGAAATATTTGCTTTTCTAACACCATCCAGTAGAAGTGACTCTCACAAGGCAAATACTCAGTTTTGTAAAACATTATAACTGTTCCCTGTAATTCAGCCCCTGGATCTGACCCCCTCCACCTGGTGGAAGAACATGTCCTCAGTCTTGTCCAGGAAGTCATTCAGTCACTTCCAATGAGGACGTTGAGTGGCAGGGTTCCTATTGTCCCAGAACTGGCCTTGGAGCCCATACCATAAACCAGGTGGGTAAGCACCCCTTGCCCTGCTGCCACTGCAATTGCAATGCGGAGCTTTGGACATGCCATTGCTTAGCTTTTCTCCAGAACAATACTGGGGCTCTTTGAGGAAGGGACATGGGTACAGATGTTTTTTAAAGCCCTGCAATGTGAATGCAGGCAATTCTGGTATATGCACAAGGTTGAGAAGGATAGATCTAAAGCAAGCAGTCAACAACAGGGGCTAAATACTGACTTGCCAACCTTACCAAGAAGTGACGATTCCAGCTCTACTGTAACTAGTGGCAGCCCACCATCTATGCCTAGACTCAACAAAACAGGAGGGAAGGGTGACTGGAACTTGTAAGAACTGACTCCAGTACTGCTGCAGAGCCCTCTACAGCTCCCACGTGCTCCTCAGGAGACAGCCAGTACTTGATGCCCGGCCTCCAGAGCCACATATGGCCCGAAGGTGTCAGGGCAGCAGCAGCTACCACAAGAGGACACATTTACTGCAGCAGCCAGTAAAATAAAGAGATAAAAAAAAAAAATATGTCCCTTCTCCCACAGCAGCACCCTGGAAGAAGAGACAGGGGTCCCAGACCCATCAGGTCCCCCTCCGACCCAAGCAGATAGGGTCTCAACTCAAACTGTGCTTGGGAAAGATGGTAAAGGTTTAACCCACACATGAAACCGAACTGGATTAAATATTAGTAACCAAAAAAGACTAGAAAAGATGAAATCTGCCCAAGATGTCACTCAGGATGGGAAAGGAGTGCCAGCAGTACAGAGCTGGAAACTATGATTTAAGGAAAGAATCTTGGTTGTGTTTATCCTGCTCAGTGAGTTCATACCACTTTATAAACCAATCATACTTCAGTGTTTTCTCAGTCATACTAGGTTTAAACACTCTGATTACAAGATTTTCTCAGGATTTCTCCTTCCTGTCTTCCAGGAGGTGACATCTATGTTCTGTGGGCATCAAATAGACTTCGTGGGAGGTGAGGGGTGGGGAGCCTCTTCCATGGCCATTCCTCTTGCATCGGCTTCATCCAAACCCAAGCTTGCAAAGCCTCCTGGCTAACCACTACACCCCTTTGGAATTCACTAACCCCACCCCCTCAGCAAATTTCTAAACCCTTTGTGTGAACCCAAGGAAGACTTAGCGGCTGTCTCAAGTGTACTTTGGGAGACTCAGGAGCAATCCTGCAGCCCCACTGCCTCTGCTACCCCATGCAGCCCTGTGGTATGCCCCATGCAAGGCAGGATATGGGATCCCTTTCACAGAGATGCTCACCTTCTCCAACTCTTCCCTGCACTTCTCATCCCTCCCCAACTAGGAAACCTTCCTAGTCTACATGGCAGTGCTTGAGAGAGAAGTGAGAGGAAATGGTTCCCCTTATCACATATTCTTCCAAAACGGACCTATCCAACACCTGTACCAAACCTTTTGAACCCAATAGCCAAAAATATGAAACCTTTGGTCTTTGGTTCTCCCATGAGAGTTTCCCTAAAATAAAGGAGATTCCATTCTAGCTCCCCAAATGAGAAACGATTACAGACTAAAAAATGAATTGGCCCCACAGCCCTATTAATATGGCACCTGTTCACCAGCCCCCACTGCTCTGTCCTATTAAGATCAGAGAAAAACGTGAACGAACTCCAATAGAAGAAGGTACCAGAACAGCAGAAATCAATTACGTGCAAGGAATTTAGGGAGATATTTATCACAAACTTATGTAAATTGAAACAAAACACACAAAAAGATGAGTTTGGTGCACTGGAATTAGTGAAAACTGAGGATAAACACTACACTCTATTATTTTTTTAAGATTTATTTCTTTATTATATATAGAGAGAACAAGAGCTAGGGTAGGGGCAGAAGAAGAGAGAAGGAGAGAATCCCAAGCAGACTCCCCACTGAGCACAGAGGCCAATGCTGGGCTTGATCTCACAACCCTGAGATTATCACTTGAGCTGAAATCAATAGTCCAACGCTTAGCCAAATGAACCACTCTGGCATCCCAATATCACTCTTTATTTGTAGAAGTAACTGAAATTGGTTCTCACCGGATGTGTAGAACATGTCAAGTAATCTTATTGTTTCTTGTTTCTGGCCATTGTGAGTAAAGCTGCTATGAACACTCTTTTTTTTTAATTTTTTTTAAATTTATTTATTTATGATAGTCACAGAGAGAGAGAGAGAGAGAGGCAGAGACACAGGCAGAGGGAGAAGCAGGCTCCATGCACCGGGAACCCGATATGGGATTCGATCCGGGTCTCCAGGATCGCGCCCTGAGCCAAAGGCAGGCGCCAAACCGCTGCGCCACCCAGGGATCCCTGCTATGAACACTCTTGTACAAGTCTTTGTGTTGACATGAGCTTTAATTTCTCTAAACAATGTTTTCATAATTTTTCAATATATTGCCTTTTCTGGTGCTATTTTTACACCAATATTATTTAATAATAAAAGGCAATTTTATAATAAAAATAAATCTCTGACTTTAATTTGAATAAAATTAATTTGGGAGTGGGGAAATGCATTTTCATCATCTCTGCACTTCTAATATAAAAGTTATAACAAGGCAGGGGTGCTGGGGTGGCTTGGTCAGTGAAGTGTCTGACTCTTGATTTCCACTCAGATCCTCATCCTCAGGGTCATGAGATTGAGCCCTGCTTTGGGCTCTGCACTCAGAGGGGAATCTGCTTGAGATTCTCTCTCTCTCTCTCTCTCTCTCTCTCTCTCTCTCTCTCTCTCCCTCTGCCGCTCCCTCTCACTCACACATGCTCTCTCGCTCTCCTTCTCTCTCTCAAATAAATAATTTTTTTTAAGTTATAACAGGGCCATTACACCAGCACGAAGCCTCAGGGTAAAGAAAACACTAGGAGTTGGTAGATACTGTAACAAACTGCAAAGTGCACACATACTCTGTTTTAAATGCACAGCCACTGTTCCACATCAACCAATTGACCATGCAGCCCCAATATTGCCCAATCTTCTCATTTTGCAAGGACAGGATTTTTGTGCATATATGCAATCTCCTAAATTTAAATGTTGACCAATAAAAAGTATTAAGCACTGGTAGGCTAGTGCTGTCCAGGGTTAGGCTGTACAAGATAAAATACAACCACAGGTCAGATTTGGCCCAAGACTCATTAGTCTGTAGCTAAGATTTTGGTTCTCCATCTGGCTATGAGCAATATGAACTTTTAGCTTTTTAAAAACACAACATGCCTATCTCGGATTCTGACTTACTCAGATTCTTAGATCAGGAATGAGGCTCCGGCATCCACACATTGTTTGAAAGTGCCAGAGTTCACTCTGTTTCACAGTCAGGATGAAGAAGTAGGGAATTAAATTTCAAGTTAACAGTGTTTGGTCACATGTCCCAAATTCAGCACTGTGTTCAGACTGTCGCTTTCCTGGCCTAATTCTATCTATTTCAGAGTTCAAACACTGATGAGCATATCAGTAAATTATAACTGGTGATACACACACAAATAATGAAACTGTCACAAGGCAGTTTCTCTTGTCTTAATTAACCCAAATGGCATCAAATATTGGCTCTTCTGTGCTTGAGAACATTGTAATAGCTGACCTTTGTGGAAGAAACTTGATTCTAAGTAAAAAATGTTCAGATACAAGCTGATGGGAATTTTATTCATGAACGTGCTAAACATAAGATAAAAACATTTCTCCACAAATAAGGGAGAAAAGAAAGGAAGCTGGAGAAGGCAGATCAAAGGAGCTATTTTCAAAGACAACTGAGCAGGTAACAGGTCTTGTGAGATGAGTAAAAGGTATGGAGACAGTACAATCCCTAACCTGGGACTCTTGTCCATCAGGTGAGTATGGGTTTAAGGTTAAGGTAGAAAGATACTGTGGTAGGAACCTCTCTCATTTTTTTCCCAAGAGGCTCCTGCAAGCCAGAGGCAAATGGGTCTTTATGAAAAATGGAGACAGCCAGTAACAAGATCCTTTCATCATTTGCATTTCAAGCCTCTGACTTGTGGTCGTGTGGCAAGCAAATGAAGAAAAATGAAATAAACATTAACGGGGGTGGGGGGCGGTATTTACAATAACATTGAGTGAGGGTCAGAAGGCTACAGAGCAAGTACTGGTCCTTGGCGTGGAAACCTGAAAGTCAGGGACAAAGAGAATGGCCACAGTGAGCACAGATGCCACAGATAGAGACATGTCCAGGTTTAAAATCGTCCTCACCTTGGTGGTCCCCGGAATAGATTGCCTCACTGGCATCGTTGGGAATGGCTTCATCACAATCATCCATGGGGCCAAGTGGGCCAGAGGCAAAAGGCTCCCGGTCAGTGACTGCATTCTGCTGATGCTCAGCTTTTCCAGGCTCTTACTGCAGATCTGGATGATGCTGGAGAATATTTACAGTCTACTGTTCCAGGTCACTTACAACCAAAACACAGTGTTTATACTCTTCAAAGTCACTGTCATTTTCCTGAACTATTTCAACCTCTGGCTTGCTGCCTGGCTCAACATCTTCTATTGTCTGAGAATCGCAAACTTGGCTCACCATGTGTTCATGATGAAGAGGAAAATCACGGAGCTGATGCCTCGGCTTCCGGGACTGTCACTGTTCATCTCCTTATGCTTCAACTTTCCTTTCTCTACAGATATCTTCCATGTGTACGTAAATAGTTCCATCCCTATCCGCTCCTCCAATACCTCTGAGAAGAAGTACTTCACTAAGACCAATGTGGTCAACCTGGTTCTTCTCTATAACCTGGGGATCTTCATTCTTCTGATCATGTTCATCCTTTCAGCCACCCTGCTGATCATCTCTCTCAAGAGACACACACTACACATGGAAAGCAATGCCACTGGCTGCAGGGACCCCAGCATGGAGGCTCACATAGGGGCCATCAGAGCGACCAGCTACTTTCTCATTCTCTACATTTTCAATGCAGTTGCTCTATTTCTTTCCATGTCCAACATCTTCGACATCAACAGCTCCTGGAATATTTTGTGCAAAATTGTCATGGCCGCCTACCCAGCTGGCCACTCAGTGCTACTGATCTTGGGTAACCCTGGGCTGAGAAGAGCCTGGAAGAGGTTTCAGCACCATGTTCCTCTTCACCTGTAAGAGCAGACTCTGTGACTGGAACCCAGACTACCACACGACTGGTTCAACCAGTTCTGCCTTTCTCCACTTAGACTTCTCTCCTCATCCATCTTTTCTGCCTGAATCATGCTCTGATACTTCTCCTCAGGTAACCGGACCCTTCTCAAACATGATGCTTACTTTTTAACATGAGATTCTAAGCAAAAGTAGCTAAGCCACACTAAGATGGATTTGTGAAAGCTTTTGGATCTATGCTGATTCATCTCGTGCCCTGTGCTCCACCCTGCATCCTCCTCCCCTGAGCCTGAAGGAGAGGATGGCCAGATATCTCTGTTTGCCTAGGATGATTTCAGTCTGTGCCTCTTGTCACTCAGCATCCTTTACTTCTCAAGCATACCTTGGTCTGGATGAAAAATGACATGGCCACCCTACTTAAGGCATCCTACTAACCCACAGTGAAAAAATAGGAGGGCTAGTGACAAGCATAGTATGCAGTCAAGAGGCAGAAAGGAAATGGGAATACTGGGACGCCTGAGTGGCTCAGCAGTTGAGCGTCAGCCTTCAGCCCAGGGTGTGATCCTGAAGACCTGGGATTGAGTCCCACATCGGGCTCCCTGCATGGAGCCTGCTTCTCCCTCTGCCTCTGTCTCTCTTTCTCTCTCTCTGTGTCTCTTGTTAATAAGTAAATAAAATCTTTAAGAAAGAAAGAAATGGTAATATCTACAGGGAAAAGGGATTCCAGAAAGAAAGGCTGATCAGAATTATCAGATGCCACAGAGGTTTCAAGAATGGAGGCCATGTATACTATTAGAGTGACAGGTGGCATTCGGATTGCAGAAGTTTCCAGAGAAGGTGAGGAAAACAGTGGGGGAGTTTGTAAAGACTAACAATTGTAGGACACTCTCTGGAGAGAAACATGAAATACAGGGTGGTGAGTGGGATAAGTAAATGGTCAACTGAATGCTTTATTTTTCCAAATGGTAAAAGAGACAAGGGCTGAGGGCAAGAGTGGTGTGTGCAGCCACAGAAAGAAAATAGACTCCAGAGTAAAGGAATGTCTATGTTAATGTGCTCCTAAGTCTGTGGCAATGCAAGGGCGTCCGTTTCTGTCCTCGTCATTGCTAGGTGCCCCCCAGGGGGGCGGGGTGGGGAGGAGGAGGGTAAGTAAACATTCGAGAAGGAAAACATCACACTTCACTGTCACTCTTCAGAATGACAGCATCAGCATTGCCTCAAAGGGCTATACCCAAAATAACACACCCCACTCCTAGATATCTTGGAACCAGAAAGTTAGGAATTTGGGGGTTTCTTGTGTTTGGTGTTTTTAAAATCAGAATTACTGAGGAAAATGTGAAAAGAAAACTACTGAGGCATCAAGGCTGCCAAATGAAAATGTAAGATAAGTAACAAAGACTAAATGCTGAGCATCTGGACTCTCAAGCACATTTTTCTGAGAAAATCCCTTACATCTGTGAACAGCAAAAAATTACATGCACACACACACACACACACACTCTCTCTCTCTCTCTCTCTCACATACATCTCTGTATAGTTCCAACAGCATAGGATTTATTCAAACTAGAAGGGAAAATATTCATGAAAATACACATTTTCCATAGTTTTCCTAACTGACATTTATTTCTCTGACCATTTAAGGCTGGTTTGGTTATTATGATAAGATAAACCAGATTCTGAAGTGTCATTCCAGCTCCTAAAGAATAAAGAAATATACTTTTCCCCAATACATGCATACCTACCACTGAAAAACAGAGAAAAAAAGAAAATTGATTCAGAGCCACCATATGATTTTTATGAACAATGCCAAGATAACAAACCATATAATCCCTCCCCGTGCTTATTATGAAGAAATATTATGTTGTTGTTTGCAAAAGCCAAAAGCAGCCAAGAGCTAACAAGAGCTTTGAGGATGGTATGTCCATACTGTAGTTGCCCTACCTTCAAACAGATAAAGTTCCCTCCAGTTCTCCCACCTTGCCTCCTTCCTTCCTTCCTTCCTTCTTTTCCTTCTTTTCCTTCTCTCCTTCTTTTTCTTTCTTTCTGTACAACCCACCTAAATTCCATAATGGGCCAGAACACTCTATCTTCAAATTGGTTGGCCTTAGACAGAAATCAGAAGTCCTAAAGGATCTGCTTTGCAAACCCTACACAATACCCCTATACCCTGGGAGAGGTTTGAAAGTTATGGTGTGATGGGTTCCTTTACCCACAAAGTCACTCTGGACATTCATCCACCACAAGGAGCAACAGGGGCACTTCAGTTGTCATGGGTCTCCAGTGTGGAAGGCCCAGTACAGGTCGAGGTGTCTCAAACCTGGTTGAGTCCTAGTGAAGGAAAACTAGAGTAGAAGCCAGGGCCAACCTAACAGCTGGGATTTGAGAAGCACAATATTGTCCCACCATACCACACGATCTTTGCCTCCTAACCCCTCAGTGTCTGCTAATTCCACTGTGGGTCCTGCTTTTCTGGGAGTGGACTCAGCAGGAATTCTCTTGTATTTTTCTCTTACACATTCTTTACTCTGGGCTGCTAGGGCACAAACATCTATTGGATAAGGAAAAAGGAACTACACACTCAATCAAGGACATGTCTTCAATTGGGAGAGGGGAGCAGAAATGAAGGGGGAAATTGGGAGCAATCATGGCAGAACTGAAAGGAAGAAACACTGAGAGCCCCATTTCACTCCTGTCTCCCTTTTCCCTCTGGACAGAAGTGGACTCCTTAGGAGAGAGGTGGGAGGAACAGAAATTCCTTGCATGCTCAGAAAGTTTGGTTTGCAGGAGAAGGAGTAAGGATAAACGAGCCAGGGTGCCTGTCCTTAGTGTTGGAAGGCTGGGGGACCTCTCTGGATCCCTTTGCTAGATCAGGAACAGGTTGCCATGGAGAGCAGAGGCAAAAGTCAGAGGAAAATGCTAATCTCCATGTCCTTTGAGGGGAGGTAACATGTTATGTGGTTAGAAACTTCTATTGGTGGAAGCAGGACAGAAGCATTTTAGAGCCTGGGATGTGGCCCAGAAGGGGCAGGCTGGGGCAGCACAAGAGGTGTGGGGCGGAAGGCCAGAGCAGAAGGTCTGGAAAGGGAAGGTGTGAAAGTGCCAAGTGCTTGGCCAGGCTCCACTGGGAGAAGCACTCTACTTACAGCTCCTGCTTGGCCCTTGGGGGCGATCCCTGCAAGCAACAGAAGGTCTTCCAAGAGCTTTCTAGAGGAACATTCCTTGGTGGGGCCCTCACAATTCAGTCTACCAGACAGCACAGGTGTTCCGTGTCTGCAAAGCCTGCCGGTCAACCAGCCTCACTGAGGTGGGACCGGATTTTTTATAGTTTCTTATTTGTCTCTCATTTGGTTTTCCTTATTTTTTTTTTTTTTTTTAGCAAATTTCCTAAATTTTTTTTTAGCAAAAGTGTCTTATAAATGTTCTATCTTCTCTCAGTTTTGTCAGTAGAAAATAAGAGCAAAGTGGTTTTGCAAACAGTTGAAAAGACAAAGAATCAACGATACCTTGGGTTTGGGTTGGGTTCGATTGTGGCCGCAGCAGAGAACCTGACCCGAGGAAAGAATTCCAAGGTGGATCATTGCTGGGAAAATCTTACCTCAGGCAGCTGGCCTCCCTTCTCACCACACAGTTCCTGGAGTCACAATGACTTCAGTTTGGGTCTGGGCTCTGCTACTTCCTAGTGTTTGCAGGTTGTTGTTCCTTTCTGAACTTCAGTTTCTGTACCTGTAAAATGGGAATAGTATTAATAGTACCTCTCTCCTAGGATTATCGATCCCTGTAAGAAATGAGTAAGATTAAAACACAGTGTAAGCTCTCAGCAAATGATAGTTGTTAACGTTCTAAAGGGAAGGGATGTAAGGCTGAGAGGCCAGGAGTACAGAATGAGGCTATTCAGAGCAGGCCAGATGTGAAAAGGCCCAGGACTGGACTGGAGGTACACAGAGGGTTTGGCTTTTTTAGAGAAGCAAAACCTAGTCCAATCATATCCCGAGCAGCTCATTATCCCGAGAGGTGTGGGGTGGGAGAGAGGGGAAGGAGGGCAAAGGAGGGGAGGCCAGGGTGCCCTGAAGTTTTTGGCTCCCACAGATCCTTCTGGCAACATCAGAAAGACATCTAGTATTCCAGGGCTGAACCCCCTGGTGATTTTGAACAAGGTAGGGCACTAGGTCAGGGGCCAGCAAACTTTCTGTCAAGAGCCATACACAATAAATATTTTAAGCTCTTGGGCCACATGCAGTCCCTGTCACAAGTCCTCAACTCTTCTGTTGTAAGCACAGGAGCCACCAGAAAACAACACGTACATGAACAGGCGTGGCTGAGCTCTAATAAAATTTTATTTACAGACACGGAAATGTCAGTTTCATATCATTTTCACACATCATGAAATATCTTTTGATTTTTTTTCAACCATTTAAACATGTGAAAAGCCACCTTAGCATGTGGGCTCTACAAAAACAGGCAGTGGTGAGTCAGATTTGACCTCCAAGCCACAGTCGACAATCCCATCCTTGGTACTTTCTCCAGACCAAGGGGGCACCAAAAACCACCACCAAACCCCAGCTACCTAAACCACAGACACTTGGCATGATAATTTTGCCATGATTTGAACATGACAACTTTCCAAATTTCTCTGCCACTTTTAATTCCTCCAGCTTTGGTCCACCCCTTGGTGATCTCTACACCATAACTCTTTATTTGATTTTTTTTTTTTTTTGTGAGAAACAAACAATGAGTGCTCTAATCTCTCTCTCCTACCACAACCATGCTGTTAAGGACAGACACAGGGCCCCAAAGATACCACCGTGAAGCTACTCAGTCAGTAACAAGGAGTAAAAATCATTAAACAGATTCCTACAGGGTCCTCAGGAGCATTTGGAGGGCTATGTCTCTAGCTCTGAAATGATCACTCTCCTACAGACTCCCACTGTGAGACTGGACACAGGCTGAGGGTCCCTAGGTGGTGCTGACCCAGCAAGGCAATGCTGATATCTTTGTGTCCTTTTGGTTGTTTTTTTAGCCGATGATGGGAAATGTCTAGAGTTAGTGTGGCACATAGGAAGAACCTAGACTTTGGTGTCAAAAATCTAGATGCAAGTCCTCACTCTTAGGTGATCTTTGGAAAGTCACCAACTCTGGTTTGGCCTCAGTTTCCCCATCTGGAAAACAGTGATGCTCATAATATCCACTCCACAGGGCTGTTCTGAGGTTCAAAGGAAAGAATACATACATGTGTAACTAACTACAAGCCACCGTAAGAAGGTGAGCGTGTTTATTCATTCAATGAAAGTGTATTGAGAGGGCTGCTCACTGAAGGAGATGCTGAGCATTCAAAGGTTAATGCAGCTAAACTGTCGATCTCCAAGGGCTCAGAAGGGAAAAGAACAATTCATTTAATTACACAGTGGGAAATACAATAGTGGAGGTCCATGTACCATGGGGTCAGGAACATACCTCAAACCACAAATGTTCAGTTAGTTAAAATTTTTCCAAAAAGAAAATTAAATGGGGGAGCCTGAGTGGATCAGTCGGTTAAGTGGCCAATTCTTGATTTCAGTTCAGGTCTTGATCTCAGGGTCATGAGTTCAAGCCCTATGTTGGGGTCTGTGCTGGGCATGGAACCTATATATATAAATATATATAATACATATACTATATAATATATATAATATTATATGTAATAAATTTTAAAATGAAATGAAATTGTTGGGGCTCCAGAGTGGCATAGTTCCTTAAGCCTCCGACTCTTGGTTTCAGTTCAGGTCATGATCTTAGGGTCTTAAGATCGGACCCCATGTCAGGCTCCATGCTCAGCTTGGAGTTGGCTAGGGCTTCTCTCTCCCTCTCCCTGCACTCTCTCTCTCTCTCTCTCAAATAAATAAATCTCTTTTAAAAAATTAAAACTTGTTCTGCTTTATTTCTTTCTGGGATAGAAAAAGGGGAACTCAGGACAGAACTCTTCCCTCTCAGTCTCACTGGACCAGTGAGGAAAGATCAGGACTGAGAGAATATTCCACTGAGAATCTATAGAAATCACCACGACCAGAGGATGCAAAAGAGAAAAGAGTCCCAACACGTCCAGTCCTCCTTAAGGAAAGCTGCTGTTTGCATCCCCTGCCTAGAGCCCTCAGAGACTATAGATAAATGTGTGTTTTATTCAAACCAGATGCTGAATAATAAATTATGGCTGGTGGCCCTGAGTGCAGCTGGGAACAACAGCGACAGAATGCTTAGCAGGGAAGGGGGTGGCAATTTGATTCTCTGAAGACTGGAGACCTCATAGGATCCTAGTCTGGTTTCTTGTTCATCTTACTTCTCAGTGGAATAGGACCTGACATTCACATTCTAGTCATGAATGCACAGAGAAAAAATTGTTTGCCTTTGGACTCAAAGGCCCAGAAAAATGCCTTGAAAAACTCAGTCTAGCCCCCTTGGAGGTTGTGGTTGTGTTTAATACAGGGCCAATGGGCAGCCCAGGTGGCTCAGTGGTTTAGCACCACTTTCAGCCCAGGGTGTGATCCTGGAGACCTGGGATCGAGTCCCACGTCAGGCTCCTTGCATGGAGCCTGCTTCTCCCTCTGCCTGTGTCTCTGCCCTCCACCCCCTCTATCTCTCATGAATTAAAAAAAAAAAAAAATACAGGGCCCTGCAACCACTCTCCACCTCCTCCCAGCCACCACCTGCTCCCCAAGGAACAATTGCAAATCTACCTGGAGGACTCTATGGAGGCAGGGAAGAGGAGCTGGATTTTGTGTCCTTTGCTGAGGTTGGAAATAGGAGGAAACATGACTTCACTCCTATTTCCACCCCCCCCCCACTCCCCTTGGGCTACCCCCAACTGCCTGCCCTCATAGTGCATGGATCCTGAATTCCCCACCCCACCTGAGCAGGTCCTGACAGGCAGTGACATCAGGGAGGAGAACTGGAGGAAGCATGCATTTTCTCTGCACTTATGGAGTGTTGGAGATATCAACAGGAGTAGATTATGTCAAAGGTAAGCTCTGGCCATAGAGTGACTGAGGTACAAGAAAGGAAAGGCCATATGACTTTTCGGGTCTCTGGCTGAGGCGTGTCTGAGCAGGGCAATGCTCCTACCCAACTTCGGTGAATAAACCCAAAGTCCAAACTGCAAACCCGAGAGACTATACAGCCTGGGATCTCTGTGCTGTTGGATGCAGCCTTCTGACAAATAAAGACACCCCAATCATATTGGATCTTTCTAGTCCCTAAAATCCTTAGCCAAGGACTTCATTCACACTGCAGCATAGCCAATGCCAAATAGACTCAATTAATCAGTTAAATAAGATTAGGTTAGGTTAAAATTACTATTTTTACTATTAGGTTAAAATTACTTGCTCTGGAGTATATAAGTTTTCTACTTGTTTATGTTTTATATTTGTATTTTGATTATTCAGCCTCATGTGAAATTTATTTTAATATAGGAAAATATATAATATAAAAATTAAATACTTCAGGGGATTGCTTTAATCTTTTTATGAACTAGTCAAATTATTAAATGATAAAATGCCTTTGCCTTTGCAGTTTACCTTTTCATGAGTTACTCTAATTTCTAAATCTGTATTCTAACATCTGAAAGTATTAATGCAATTACATTTTTGGCACTGGTTAATTGTATGTGATGTAAGCTTTGAATCTGGTTTTCAAAGGCTGAGTAACTGAAGAATATATCTGGCAAGTCTTCATCTGAAGAGGTCATCCACAACATCCAACTCTACAGCCTGAGTCTCCACCCTCTTGGGTCCTCTATGGCCCGGGGTAACACAGACTACCCCACCTGTTTAAAAACTCTCCACCCCTGGCTTCTGTATCTGTTCAGCTGCCTGGTCTTTATCCTGTTTCCTTACCATCAAGTACTTTAATTAAACAAAGAACTCACTCACAATTTCCACACTCTATTTGTTGCTACCACTAAGGTGACCAACCACTGAGGTTTTAAAACCCAAAATCCTATATCTCAGAAAACCCTGTCTTGGGCAAACTGGAGCAGTTTGTCACCTGAGCACCACTCAAATAACTGAAGTTATATTCAGACTTCAAGTACTATCTTCCTTTTCTTTTTTTTTTTTTTTAAGGATTTTGTTTATTCATTTGAGACACAGAAAGAGAGCATGAGCAGAGAGGAGAGGCAGAGGGAGAGGAAGAAGCAGACTCCCCCCACCCCCCACCCCCCCAAGCAGAGAGCCTGACGCAAGGCTGGATCTCAGGACCCTGAGATCATGACCTGAGCCGGAGACAGACACTTAGCCATCTGAGCCACCCAGGCGCCCCTAGATTTCAAGTATTGCCTTTCAATAACAGCTGTGATATTCGCTCCAGTATCATTCCTTTAGGAGCAGACATTCACAGACTAGCACTTCTCACACAAAACACAAACACAAACGCTCGTGTACACGTGCATACTACCTGCTTAAAATCCTCCACTACCTTCCATTATCTATAGACCTTCAGATGGGCATGCAAAGCCCTCCATACTGTGTCTCAGACTTACCTCTCCTGACAGATTTTGATGCTTTATAATAGTCACTGTACTGAATATAATCATTTGAAAAGTCTGGTGGTTTGGATATGGATGTTTTAATTATGGAAAACTATACATTCAGAAAAGCAGAGAAATAGAACAGTGATCCCTCATGTACCTCAGCCTCAACAACTATCAATTTTCTGCCATGATTGTCTATAGAAGGCTTCTGAGTAGTGTTATATGATTCAAATATTTCTATGAGCTTTAGCCTACAAAATTTTGTGCGTTCTAAATTTCCCCTAAATGTCATGTCCATTCTCAGTCTGTGATTTGATCCCCTTCAAATTAGCATAGGTGTGTGTTCTCTGAAATTTCTAATTCTACACTACTCTTTAGTAAGTCTTCATTTTAAAGAGTTCTACATTAGTCATAAAATATCTGTTTGTTTTAAAACCAATAAAATCAAGAAGAAAAGTCCTAAGATCGCTTTATCCACTTCCCCTCCCCCCCCCCCAAAAAAAACAGGTTTTACTTACTTTCCAAATCTCTTGTCCAACTTTCCTGAAGAAAGCCTAGGGTCATGTCTGAATTCTCAGTCCTCCTTAACCAGTGTATGCTGGCAAACCAGTTCTCTGGGAATGAGTGTGGAGGAGAGAGAAAGGAGAGAGAGAAAGGAAGAAAGCAAGCAAGCAAGTAGGCCTGATGAGTAGAATATTCTGATTTTTATTGTGTAAATACTCCCCCTGTGATGGAACTTGAATTACCATCACGACGTCATTAAATAGAAGTTGGGAAGAGATGCACACCGTCTGTGCTCTCTATCTGGTAGCCGACTCCAGGACATCACTCAATTTCCTCAGGTCAAAATAACAGAGAGGCTGAACATACCAATGCTATAGCCACATGGTCTAGATTTCAACATAGTACTAGCTCTGTGACCTTGGGCAAGTTGCTTAACTCCTCTGAGGCTCAGTTTCCTCACCTTTACAATAGTGGTAATAAACACTTCTGTCTCATGGGTTTTGCTGTAATGTGCACAACTCTTACAATAGCTCCTAACATCCTGTAGGCGCTCACGTATTTCCTGTTATTACCCAGGAAAGAAGATCAAATGGTGCTGCGTGGAGTTACTGCCACTAGATGGCATCCTCCTCATTCTTGTAGCGCCACTTGTTCTTACAGAGGTATTTGCCGCGGGACAGTCAAGGAGGCCGTAACAAGATCAGATGAATTGACTAACAAGACTTCCCCTCTCTCATCTCCTGGCTTAAGTTTCAAACGCCCATTAGGAACCCAGCTATTGATGCTTATGACCCTTGCTGCCACTTCTAAAGCTCAATGCAGAAGCTATTTTCAATAAAAAATGCCTAATCTTGGGGATCCCTGGGTGGCTCAGCGGTTTAGCGCCTGCCTTTGGCCCGGGGCACGATCCTGGAGTCCCGGGATCGAGTCGCGCGTCAGCCTCCTGTCATGGAGCCTGCTTCTCCCTCTGCCTGTGTCTCTGCCTCCCTCTCTCTCTCTCTCTCTCTCTCTCTCTCTCTCTCTCTATCATGAATAAATAAATAAAATCTTTTTTTTAAAAATGCCTAATCTTACTTAGTCATTATAGGAATCAAAACAAAAGCCAGAGTTGTCCTTGTTACATAAGGGGTCAACTCTGATCTTTGCTCTCCTCAGCTATCTCCTCTCACTCAAAGGAAGACAGTACGGCTTCAAATGTGACATCCATTATCGTCGCATTGTTTCCTGCCCAGTCACTCTGAAAGGGGACATAAATCAGTCGAACAATAGTTCAGTTCTATAAATATTTACTGAGCTACTGAATATGTGAGATACAGTACCAGAAAATAAGGATATATGGGTAAATAACTATATAGAAGGAAAGAATTTGCCTATCAACAAATCTAGATCTCTCCAGAAATCAAATATTAATTTTTTTTATGAATTCAACAACTTAGTTAAAACTTACATAGAAGAATAAAGGTCCTTGAATAATTAATCTCTACCAGATATTAAAGCATACTGCTAAGTTATTTTTAAACTAATATAACGGGAAAATGAGCATAAAATATACTCATTTATACATGGAAACTTAAGATATGATAAAAAGTGAACCATATGTGAATGGGCAAAAGATAATTTATTAAAAAGTAATGGTGGGGGCACCAGCTGGCTCAGGTCAGTGTGAGGCATGCACTCTTGATCTCCGGGTTGTGGGTTCAAGCCCCATGTTGGGTGTAGAGACCAGTTAAAAAAATAAAATCTTTTAAAAAATAAAATTAATAAGTACTAGGAATGAGGCTCACTGAAGAAAAATAAAGTTGAATCTTTTCCTCTTACTTTATACAAAGGAAAATCCAAATGGATAAAAGATCCAAATGTGAATGGTAAGATGATAGAGTTAAGAAAATACAGAATTTTGTCACTATACAATAGAGAATGGCTTATTAAATAAGATCCCAGAAGCTCAAAACCTAATTAGATTTCCATTCAGCGAAAGGTAGGGATGACAGTCAGGGAGAAGGCATTTACAACATCCAGAAGCCACAGGAGACCACTAAGAAGAGTGTACAAGGAAAACTGACATACACACATGTACACATATAAATACAAACAGAGGAAGCTCGAGTGGCCAACAGAGGGAAGAGGTGCACATTCCCACTTATAACCACAAATATGCAAATTAAGTAAGAGTGGCGCCTGGGTGGCTCAGTCCATTGAGCTTCTGATTCTTGATTTCAACTCAGGTCATGATCTCAGGGTTGAGCCCTAAGTCGGGCTCCATGGAATATGTTTGGAGATTCCCTCTCTCCCTCTCTGTCTGCCCCTACATACCCCCTATCCTGGCACACACACGCTCATATACACTTTGTCTCTCTCAAAAAAAATTTTTTTTAACTGAAAATGATAAGATACTATTTCACATTCATCAGAATAGCCAAAAATTACCAAGCGTTGGCAAGAATGTGAAGGAAAACCCTGGTGCTGCTGGCAGGAGTGATAAATTGTATCACCATTCTGGAGAACCATTTGTCAATATTGGTGAAATAAAATATTCACATACGCTTTGAGATAGATCCACTCACTCCTGCATACATCACCAAGAGAAACTCTAGCACAGGTTATTAAGGAGACACAGATAAGATGTTCCTTGGAGCACTGATTGCAGAGGTAGCAAGTCGAAGGCATACCAAACAAGGAGAATGGGTCACTGAGGTGTGGTGGATGCCCAGGGCAGAAGAGCATGCAGCAGTCAGATATAGCACACTAGAAGTCAAAACAGCTCTGTGGATATTTTCAAGAGAAAATATAAGCAGAACAACAACAAAAGAAACATGACAAGATCCACAGCCCAGCACCACTTGTGTATATGAAAAACATCTCGCATGTGAAACAGCAGGTCTGAGGAGGTGATATTCATGTCCACAGACGTCATCCACCACAACAGCACATGTATCCGAGACAGCACATAATGCAGTAAGTTAAGAATATGGCTGCTTGAGCCAGGCCACTTGGGTTCAAATCCTGGCTCTGCTGCTCACTGGCTCTGTTGCCTTGGGCAAGTCCCTTAACCTCTCAGTTTCTTCGTTGGAAAAACAAGAGATAATAATAGCAAGTACTCTATGTGGTTGTGAGGATTAGCTGAGTTAATACAAGTGCTTAAGCAATGCCTGTCAGTGCTCCCTAAGTGTTACTGTTGCTATTACTATCCATAATAATATGAGCAGGGGAACTAGAAGAGAAAAATAAAACTTAAAAATCTATGGTGAGAGGTGCCTGGGTGGCTCAGTCGGTTAAGTAGCTGACTCTTGGTTTTGGCTCAGATTGTGATCTCAGAGTCGTGGGATGGAGCCCTTGCATCCGGCTCTGGGCTCAGTGTGGAATCTGCTCCAGATTCTCTCTCCCTCCAGCTTGGGCTGTCCCCCCCACCTTAAATAAATAAATAAAATCAGAAAAAAGTAACAAAACAAAAAGCTAGGGTGGAAACTTCTATGTATGATAATAGTGAGCTATGTATTGAAGGGAATGTTTAATTCAACTCTCTCTGTACCTGAGGTTAAAACACACACACACAGCCCTCTCTCCTCACACAAGCTTATAATACAGTGAACATTGGAGGTATCAATCTACTGTGATAAGGGCCACGGTAAGAGAAAGCATGGGGTAGCACAAGAACCCAGAAGAGAGGTTAGCTGGCAAGTTCACAAAGGGATTCTGAAGGATAGGAGTGTTGGGAGGCAGGATAATTTAGAGTTTAAGATTTGGACCTGAGGGGCACCTGGGTGGCTCAGTCAATTAAGCATCCAACTCTTGATTTTGGTTTAGGTCTGAGCTCAGTGGGGAGTCTGCTCAAGATTCTCTCTCTCTCTCCCTCTGCAACCCCCCCCCAACTCCCCTCTCTAAAAATAAATAAATAAATCTTTAAAAGAAATTTGCCACCTGATCACAGTTGTGCCTTTTATTATTGTGTGTGATTTTTGATAAGTTACATTCCCAAAGTAATTACAGTTGGAAAACACCCAGGCCCTAAGAATATATTACTAGAACTCAAAAACCCCGGCAAAACCTCTCCATAATCTCGGCTATGACTATGTAGTTCCTATCTCTTTAAGAACAATCCCCCGCCTGAAAACATATCTGCTCATTGATTTGGTTAGAATTAGTTGTGGAGCAAGCTGTTTCCTTTTTGTAATCTTCAGCAAAGGAAGGATGCTAAGGGAACTGATCACATAAGAACTTGGAAGCAGAAGTGGGTGATGATGAGGCTGGCTCTTAAAATCAGGAGGAGATAGGGGCGCCTGGATGGCTCAGTCTGTTAATTGTGAAACTCCTGCTTTCAGCTCAGATCAATGATGTCAGGGTCAGTGCTTAGCAGGGAGGTTGCTTCTCTCATGCTCCCCCTCTCTCTCTGCCCATCCCTCCCGCTCCTGCTCTCTTTCTCTCTCTAAAATAAATAAATAGGGCAGCCCAGGTGGCTCAACGGTTTAACGCCACCTTAAGCCCAGGGCCTGATCCTGGAGTCCCGGGATGGAGTCCCACGTCAGGCTCCTTGCATGTAACCTGCTTCTCCCTCTGCCTGTGTCTCTGCCTCTCTCTCTGTGTCTCTTATGAATAAATAAATGAACTCTTAAAAAAAAATAAATAAAAATAAATAAATAAATCTTTTAAAAAAATCATTAGTTGGTAATTACCTGTAAGAGCCAGAGGGTCTTTTGAGCGACTGATACTTTTGAGTATCAGCCCACAAACTATTATTGGCAAGTGCACTGCAGGGTGGCAGCTGCATTAAAAGGAAATCCAGCAGGCACACACTGATTCAGTAGCTAGAATGTCATTTTGCCGTAAGACGGTGGTTCTTGGTCCAGAAAAGGGGACTTGGTCACTGGAGAGTTTACAAATCCCAAATGCAAAACATTTGCTAGGTTCGTTCATTTTTCTCACAGAAGAAACACAAAAATAAAAATACTTGAGCAGCCTGAAATCTGCTTAAGGAATGACCTTGGAAGTAAAGAAGAAAAAGGACATCCCACACATTCCTTCAGGCACAGTTCCCATGGACAGAGCTGAACAACATGTTCTCCAGCAGTGTGAAACCAAAATCAGGTAAAGGAAAACAGACAAGTTCCATTTT